GTGTGTGTGTGTGTGTGTGTGTGTGTGTGTGTGTGTGTGTATTTAAGATTTTTCTTAAAGTTTATTTGAGAGAGAGCGTGTGCGTGCCTGCACACACACGATGGGGGAGGGGCAGAGAGAGAGAATCCCAAGCAGGCTTCATGCTGTCAGCGTGGAGTCTGATGCAGGATTCGAGCTCAAGAACTGCGAGATCATGACCTGACCTGAAATCAAGAGTCGGATGCTTAACTGACAGCCACCCAGGGACTCCTTGTGGTTTATGAGTCTATTCATTGTTAAAAGGTATTTGTTTATACTACCTGTGTACATATGTTTATTATTTAATGAAAAAAGGCTTATAAAGTTAATGCCCGAAGTTCATGTGAATATCCTTAATGTTCTGTATCGTCAGGGGATTTGATTATTATAACCTGTTCTTTCCGAGCCCATAACAGATGTTAGTTTTTTAGTTTCATATTCACACATAAAGGCTTTACAGTGTGATTCCCTTACACATTGTGACTGGGCTTACTAAACACTTAAGGCATGGTAATCAAAAGAAACACTTCATTTTGATTCTAGGAACTGATGATCTTCATAACAAATCTTGATAAAAAAGACACTGCACAAGTTGTTGTGATCAGTCGTTCAGGGATTGCCTAACCATAGAGAGCATAAAGCAGTTTAGAAAGGTTAGTTATTCTACTCAGCATTGTAACTTAATGGCCTAGACGAACAAATTTCAAATGTACTGATTAAATTCACAGTTGACAGTTAGGATGGCTAATGTTCTAGAAAACCAGAATCAAATTCAGAATGATCATTGACAAAAGTTACATGCATTCATTCATTTATTAATGTTTGTTTATTTATTTATTTATTTTTATGTTTTATTTATTTCTGAGAGAAAGAGGGAAATAACAGAATCTGAAGCAGGCTCCAGGCTCTGAGCCAACTGTCAGCACAGAGCCCGACCTAGGGCTCGAACCCACGAACCACAAGATCATGACCTGAGCCGAAGTCGGACGCTTACGGACTGAGCCACCCAGGCGCCCCTGTTTAATTATTTTTGAGAAAGAAAGAAGGAGTGAGCATGCAGGGGAGGAGCAGACAGAGAGGGAGACCAAGGGGCACCTGGGTGGCTCAGTTGGTTAGGTGCCCGGCTTCTGGCTCAGGTCATGATCTCGTGGTTTGTGGGTTTGAGCCCTGCATCGGTCTCTGTGCTGATAGCTAGCACAGAGCCTGGAGCCTGTCTTTGGATTCTGTGTCTCCTCCTCTTTCTGTTCCTCTCCTGCTCACCCTGTCGCTGTCTCTCTCTCTCTCTCTCTCTCTCAAAAATAAATAAAACATTAAAAAAATTAACCAAAAAAAAAAAAAAAGAAAAAGACTGAAAATCCCAAGCAGACAGAGAATCCCAGGCAGGCTCCCATGCTGTCACCTAGGGCCTGAGATCATGATCTGAGCCAAAATCAAGAGTCGGACACTTAACTGACTAAGCCACCCAGGTGCCCCTGAAAAAATTGCTTTTAAAGCAGAGCAGAATTGATGGTGAATTTCAGTATTATACTTACAGAGCGAAGAACAATATGGAAACAATATATGGAACAATATATGGAAAGAATTAGCTAGCTGGATCTCTTGCATTTCTATTTAGTAGCTAAAACTTTGGAAATGAAGAAATGACTTGGATGCTCATTGTTTAATAGTGAGAAAATTGCTCTCCTCCTGTCCTTTCCTGCCTTTCTGAACAAGCGCCTGCAGTCCAGACCCATTCCCTCCCCTGCTTTATCTCCTAATGGTTCATCTGGGATGACGTTCCCCTCACAGTGCTTATACCCACACTTTCCTGCGTTTAACTGGCCCGACAGTATCTGTTTTATATTCCCAACAAACAAACTGCTGTTATTGTGCTAATTCACCTCTCTCTCTTCTTTGTAATCTAATCTCCAGTTCTTGAGTTCCAGTTATTGCTAACAGTAATGGTAAAAGAAAGATTCCTCAGAATCGTAATGATCACAAACGGAATAATAAATCTATTATTGAGGACGAGGGGGAGGGGGGGCAATACAAAGTCCATCTCATTCTGTCATTTAAGATCTACATGGAATCTTATCTTTGTATGTTACATTAAAACATTCTCTGACAACAAACCCTTCCTGTGTGCCAAGAACAGTTCTCAATGCTGTACATGCTGAACTCATTTAAATCTTAACCACAATGCTAAGAGGCAGGTCCTGTGGGTAACGAAGCCATGTGTACCTACGAAGCTCCCAAGAGTTAAGGTCGATTGCCCAGGTGACGGCTGGCTGGTAAAGGCAGCCTGAGGTCTAACCCAGATAGCCTGGCTCTAGGCTGAGGCTGCGTACCTAACTACCACTCGTACCGCCTTACCACCAGAGTGGAGACTGAATATCAGTCACACCAGTCAGGCAGGAAGAAATTGGAGGGGGCATGGGGAACTGTAAACAGTCTTGAAATGGCTGGCAATGGCTCTTGGTGAGAGGGTTAAAGGGATCTGAGTTGTGTGGTTTAGGGAGGAGGAAATACCAGCAGTAAGTTAATTGGGACTGTTGAAAGGAAATGTGCAGTGGGCCAGATCACAAGTCCTTCACCTCGGGCTGGAGGAGTCCTGTCTTGCCATTAAGTCTAAGGAATAATAAATCGGGAGGCTGTGAAGATCTGGCACAAGCCAGAAATCTAGAATGGGTTGCTGTTCAAGGTGGCCATGGTTCATTTGACTGTGACTGTAATTTCCCCCATTTAATTTTGAGTAGATACATTTCTTCTTCATTCTTAATCTAATGTTCCCTAAGATGGCAATAGAGTTTTAGAACTGAGGACAGGTAGTTCAGCTCCATATCTTACAGACAAGAAAACAGAACCAGAAATTATTACTTAAAAAAAAATTTTTTTTTCGCTCAGCATAACACCCTCAAGGTCCATCCACGTTGCTACACATGGCCAGATTTCATTCTTTCTCATTGCCATGTAGTATTCCATGGTATAGATAAACCACATCTTCTTGAACAAGGGGGAGAAGAAGGGCGGAAATGGTGGGGGAAAGGGAGAGAGGCAAACCATGAGAGACTCTTGAATGCTGACAAAAACTGAGGACTGATGGATGTGGGGGGGGGGATGGGCATGGAGGATGACACTTGTGGGGATGAGCACTGAGTGTTATGTGGAAACTAATTTGACAATAAACTATTTGTAAAAAAAAAAAAAAATTTTTTTTTTAATGTTTCTTTAATTTGGGTGGGGGGAAGGGGCAGAGAGACACAGAGACAGAATCAGAAGCAGGCTCCAGGCTCTGAGCTGTCAGTGCAGAGCCTCACACAGGGCTCAAACCCACAAACTGTGAAATCATGACCTGAGCCAAAGTGGAACGCTTAACTGACTAAGCCACCCAGGTGACCTCAAGAACCAGAAATTAGATATGTGTGGTCATAGGACTAGCTGCTAAGGGCCAGAACTGAGTTTTGAACCCAGGTCTCCTGAACACTGTGTAAGGCTGCTTTTTGGGGCAGGGTGGGGTCATAGTCACAGAGGGGAGCACTTTGAGAATTGCTGTTTAATACAGTGAGATTGCTTGTACTGAAGGGGGAAGCGGTGTAAGCTTCACTGATTCATGAACTGTCCTTTTTCTTTGTGTAGTATGAACCCAGAGGACCTGGTCGGCCCTTGTACCAAAGAAGAATCTCATCTAGCTCAGTCCAGCCTTGTTCTGAAGAAGTAAGCACTCCTCAAGACAGTCTTGCTCAGTGTAAAGAGCTTCAGGACCATAGTAACCAATCTTCTTTCAACTTTTCATCCCCGGAGTCCTGGGTAAACACCACCTCATCTACCCCCTATCAGAACATTCCGTGTAATGGACCCAGCAGGACAGCTCAGCCCAGAGAGTTGATAGGTAAGAGAGTTGGTGCCTTGTTAAAACTGCAGTCTTTAACTACTTGGCTTCTGGATATTAATGGCATTTTTCTTCCTCCTACCCGCCCCCCTCCCCATTTACATTATTATCTTTGAATCCTGTTTGATGCTCATGGGTGTGTCTCAGGCATACAGTGTTAATTTAGAACTTTATTCAGTCCATATTTATGGTCTGGAAGGGAAGTAGATCTATCTCTGGGGAGCTCATTGATTGAATCATTTTGACCTGTGAATGAAAGAAAGAAGTAATGAAATTTAAAGTGCATTTCTAAATAGAATCACCTTTGCTTGGGAAAAGTTTGTTTTCTGGCTTTTGATTTTTTTTTTTTCCCTCCCAGGATTAGAGGTGGGCATTGGTTGGGTCAACATGAGTTTTCAAGGATTTATTATCAATACATCTTTGCCATGCAATAGAGTTTGGCCACGAAAGAAACCAATAAAGCCCAACATTTTGAGATTTAGAAATCCCGTGTTATTTCCTTATATTCTAATGAACTCAGAAATCTAAAGCTAAAGAGGAAAAAAAAAGGCATAGAAAGGAATTGGAATGGACAAGGCTCCTATATTGTTGGGTAGGAAGTCTAAAGTCTTTAGCCTTGAATGCAAATAGATGCACTTTTATCCTTTTCCTGTTCCCTCTTTTTTTTTTTTTTTTTTTTTTTTTTGAATAATAAATGTAAGGAAACAAATGATACTATTTGAGTTCTCTAACCTGTAGCCTTCTCTTTGTAGGCTGTAGACATTGATCTTTGTGAACAAGCCTGTGATCTTTGTTGGGTGAATTTCTGCCCCGGTAGCATCAACCTTTGTATTTGAATTTAATTTTGTTCATCCTTAGAATGTGAATCTATTGTTTCTGCAACTGGCCCGTGTTTGAGTGTGTGCGGTACAAGCATATTTTTAGAACAATAGATGTGGCAGGACAGAAGCATTAAAAAGATTATGGGTTTGTTTCCTGGCAAGACACATTGTCATTTTAATTTTTAAAACATTCATTACTACCTGCAGTGTATAAGCTACTGTATCTTTCCTAGGGCTTGCTTTGTCATTTTTAAAGGTCTAACATAAATATTATCATATCTCAGTTAATTGAGAAGCATATCATTTACAAAATCAGTAATAAGAATTTTTTTAAGGTTATTTATTTATTTTGAGAGAGAGGGTGCATGCACATGTGCGCAGGTGGGGGAGAGGCAGCGAGTCCCAGGTTGGCATCAGCGCCATACAGGATCCCATGAACCGCAGGATCATGACCTGAGCTCTGGTCAAGTCGGCCGCTTAACCGACTGAGCCTCCCAGGTGCCCCTTGTTACTTTTTGGTGGTTTTATTATAACTTTATTTATTTATTATTAAAAACTTTTTTCATGTTTATTTTTGAGAGAGAGACTGACAGAGCATGAGTGGAGGAGGGGCAGAGAGAGGGAGACACAGAATCGGAAGCAGGCTCCAGGCTCCGAGCTATCAGCACAGAGCCTGATGCAGGCCTTGAACCCGTGAACTGTGAGATCATGACCTGAGCTGAGTCAGATGCTCAACCAGTGGAGCCATCCAGGCGCCCCTATTATAACTTACTTTAACGGCAACATCCTTTCTCTGTTTTTTTTTCCCACCTAAATTTTGGGATAACTTTTGGTCAAATCAATGAAAACCTGACTTGAGCTGATAAGGTAGAAAGTTTCTAAATAACTGTCCAAAGTGCATGTCATTTTAATGGTATCTTTTCCACAAATATACAATTATTATTTTGTCATTACTAGCAGACAAATTGTAGCATTCTTTCGTTGAAAGTAACAGTGAAAGTGTTAAAAAATGAGCTCAAGACCACAAGTATCCTGAAGCACAACTTCTTGTCTATCGGTATTTATTTATTTATTCATCCATTCATTCTTAGAGGAGTGCAGCCATTGCCTGGGGTGAATCAGAAGGAAAATAATTACCACTGGGAAACTTTTTTCTGAAGTTTGAGACTTCTTGAAGAAAACTTTATATCATTTTGGTTTGGAACTCACAAGAGGTCATTGCATCTGGTGCAGTCATATTTTCTCAGTTGTGACCCCGAGAGCAAAGGACTGACCGTGTCTTTGACCTTTTTGAAGTTGGATTTCCCAATTTGTCACTGATCACACTTCAAGTTCTCAGTGAACACGTGCTGAATAAGGAGAGAATGAAAATAGGTCCTGTGCCCGTCAGGGTGTGTGTGGTCCTGTCACATCTCTCAGCCTTTACACCTGGCCATGTCCGCTGGGCGGGAAGCTTCACTTCTCCCCACACACGGATGTGTTTGAGTTCTTTCCACTTCCCTTGGGGATCATATGTAGTACTTTTATCCGATATTCCCTGTTAATGTACAGATAAAAATTTAAGATTAGGTAGATAACATTGAATAATATCATTGGTTGTCAGATTAGTAATAGTTTTAAAGAATAGTTTCTCTTATCTGGAGTAGATGTGGTAAGTCATTAATAAAAATCTTGAGCTCGTGATTAAATAAGAATGGAGCTATTAGGTTGGAACTATTTTGTAAGTATTGATTATTTAGTTGAAAATATTTAATTATATTGTTATGAAAATGAGAACATGGTTAAAAAATAAATCTTAGTAAAGTAAATAAAAATAGCAAGTTCTTGAACAAATCAATAAGATGTTTATGTATTATGTTAGGCAGTACAGTCCACTGTTATATTGAAATATTTGGTGAGGGTTTTTTTTTTATGTTTTAAGCTTTTATTTAAATTCTAGGTAGTTAACATATAGTGTAACATACATTTCAGGATTAGAATTTAATGATTCATCATGGTATGTTTGTTAAACTAATACTTTTAAAGGCATAGCACTCCT